GGGGAAGGGGATTCGAAGTTGCTCTGGGGGAGAGGCAGGAACATTGGGTGTGGCTGCCACTGGGGCCGGTGACTGCCGGGCGGGGCGGCTTTTATAGGGCGCGCCAGGCCTGGGGCCGGGGGATGTGGCGACGGGGAGCACAGGCGGGCTGTCCGCGGCCCGGCCATTCATCGAGGGCATGGGGACGAGTTGGCGCCTCGGCCTGGGGGGCGTGCGGGATGTGGATGCCAGTTGGCGCGCCTGGTGCCAAGAGTAGGATGTACCGTAGGCCGAAGCTGGCGTTGGGCTCATTCGGCCACACACACCCATCGGGCAAGCCAGCCGAGTGCTCGAGCCGAGTGACGCCACCTCTGCACGCAGGCATGGATCGCGCGAGTCGCATAGCTCCTCGATCCAGCTCACGGACACCTCGGGCACACGGGCAGATCGGCACGCCTGTGCACGCCGCTGCCGAGGGCGGGTTGCGGCGTCGATTGTACAATCGATGGCCACGGCGCTCGCTTGCCCAGGGCTGCGGCTACCTCTCGGTGACGGGACATCCTGTCGGGACACCAGGAAGCGTCGCCGCTCATCGCATTCGCGATTCACGATGTCGCCCCATGGCCGCACCTCCACAGCAGGCATGGGAGCCGGCCGTTCATCTGCATGCCCCGATGGCCGGAGCCGATGGGGCCCCCGGCGACAGGGCGGCCGCATTCACCCCCGGAGAGATGCGTGTCTCCGGGGGGTGACATTGTCGCACCTCCTTCCCCTTCCCCTCTCCCCTCTCTTCCGTGCTCAGCCAGTTGGGGGCATGTACCAGGGCCCGGCTATGGTCCGGGCTCCAGCCCCTCCTTTCCGGGCTCCTCTCCCTGGCCCGAGCGACCCAGGGGCAGGCCCCCGGCCGAGAGGCCATGCTTGCCTAGCCCACAGCGATGCGAGCCCGTTGGGAGATACCAACGCGCTATCGGCTGCGATTCTGGAAATTTAAATATTATCGGATCATGTCGAGAACGGCGCGCGGAAAGCCCGGAGGTCCACACCCCGGAGACAATGCTTCCACACCCATGCGCCACGGGCGATCACCCGCCAGTTAGACCCCTGTCCCCTGAAAAGTCGCCCAGCCGTTTGGCCCTCCCCTGTGGCGGGATTATCGAGAACTCTGGTCATGTGTGATTCCCGGCATTCCGCCAACATTTTTGCCTTCCTCGCGGGGGAATGCATGCACACTCAATTAAGACTCCCCACGGACTCCCCTCCGCCTCGCGCCCGGCCACAGTTACCAGACTCGGGTCTCCCGTTGCGCCGAGGCGGGCTGCGGCCGGCGGGCACCCCTCGCGCGCGCGCGCGCGCGCGCCGACCCCGGGACAAGGCCAACCTTCTGCCGAACTGCCGGCCAAGAGGCGCACATGCCAACTGACCGAACGGCACCCGCCTGCACCCCCGCTCCCGGACACCGGGGCGGGCATGAAAATAGACCGGCGCCCAGCCTGGCCGGTGTTTGTCGTTCGGCGACGAGCCCGCCCGCTCCGGGGACGCGGCGTCCGTCAGGGCTCGAGGCCGGCCGCAGAACTAGCGAGCCAAGTGCACACACACGCGCCTGGCTGTGTGTGCGTGCGTGTGTCTGTGTGGGGTGCCTGTACATGCGTGTGTGTTGGAGCGCACGTGCGTGAACCGCACCCGTGATGGCTGTGCTTTTCAGGGGAGCTGCCCCGGTCCTACCACCCCGAGACATGCTCTAGACTGTGTCCTCGCCCCCTCCTCCAGCCCCCTTCTCCGCTCTTCTCCCCTTCGCGCACGCTCCCGCTCCCTCCCGCTCCCCCCCCCCTCTCCCCCGGACGCACACGCACACACACACACACACACACACGCACAGCAGACAGACGCTTGCGTGCATAGCCCAGCGCATCGGCGTTAAGCCTGCGAGCACGCTCTGCCTCATGAAGAGCCCCAAGGAGGAGGCTGACTCGGGTGCCCCGCCCGGCGGCGGCGGCGGCGGCGGCGACGACGTGCCAGCCGGCGCTGCTCCTCCTGAAGTGGCCGCCGCCAGCGTTGATGCCGCTCTTGCGACCGCCGCTCCTGGTGCTGTGGTTGCCCCCGGCGAACCGGCCGGGCCCGGATGTTCCCTGCCCTCGGAGAGCTTCGTTTGGACGCCGGAGCTGGAGATCCTCCTCTTTCGGGCGCTGAAGAAGTACAAGCCGATTGGTGCGCGCGCCTCCCCCGCCCCGGGCTTTGACCTGTGTCCAAGTTGGACTCGGCCGCTGGGCCCCCTGCTAACACCCGCGAGCCTGGCACGCGCCCCGTCGGCGGACAGGCATCCACAAGCACATTCGCATGTTTGCCATCCACCACTACCTGTCCAGCCGGCTGCTGCTTACGCGGCGTCTGCTGCTGGCGCACCCGCGCTTCGGCGAGGCCGACTCGCCGGCCCCACGGCTGCCCGTCTTTGTTCCCCGGTCGGCCCTCTGGCATCGGGTGCAGCAGCTGTATGACCTGGCCGGGCTCGAGCGTCTTGCCGAGGACGAGGCTGCCGTTCATGAGGAGGCCGAGGCCCGGGCCGAAGCGCGCGAGGACGACCTCCCCGCCGGCATGTCCGAAGATGATGCCTCTGAGGGGGACATGTCGGGAGTGTCGGAGGACGACGAGTCTGCCTCGGCTCCGGCTCTCCGCGGCCGGCGCGGCGTGGCTGGCCGCCGGGCCTCTTCTACCCGGGGCGGGCGGACCGGACGCGGTGGCCGACGTGCCACCCCGCAGCCGTCCGGCAGTTTGGCCGGCCCGGGCCGCGGCCCGGCCGGCGCCCGGCGACCGGGCACCGGCGGCTCGGCCTCCAACTCGGCTGCCTCCTCGGCCGTCCACTCGCCGCTGGGCCTGCTGGATGATCTGGCCTCCAGCGACGGCGGGGCCACTCGTCCGCCATTCCACCTTTCCTCCGACCAGCCAGTCGACTTTGTCCTCCCTCTGCAGATCATTCAGCGGTCGATATCCCTCGGCTCGTTACCTGAACGTATGTGCCTGTCTGTGTGCGAGGGGGAGAGAGTGAGGGAGGGACCAAGGGGGGGGGGGGGGGGGGGGGGGGTGATACACACGGTGACCGCAGCGCCCAGCGCCTAGACATGTGCCCCCCCTCCCCTCCGTCCCTCCCCCTCCCCTCTGGGTGCCATCTTCTTTGAATTGCCCTGACCCCTTCGTCCACACGCGCATGTGCTCTCCCATATGCCTGCTCTCTGGCTCTGCTCCCGCGCGCGCCGGCAGACTTCGAAGGCTACACCCCTCGGTCGTCGCCATCGCCATCGCAGACCCCCCCAGTCGGGCCCCATGCGGAGGATGATGTTCGCTTGAAGGCCGAGCCTGTTGATCCCCCCGGGAGCCTCCTGCCCCGGGCCACATCACCGTCCATGGGCGCCCTATCCGACGAGCCCCCCGGCTCTCCGCGCCGGAGTAGCCGCTTTGACCGGCATCTCGCGTCGAAGGGACGCTCAGGGTCGCCACTCCACTCCGACTTCCAAGAGGACGGTATGTCTCCGCTCTCCTCCGCCTCTCTCTCTCTCTCTCTCCATCGCCCTCGTATGCCCCCCTCACCCTGCCCCGTGTGTGCCTGTGTCTCCCTGTGAATGTGTCTGTGTGTGTTCCTGTGCATGCGTGTCCCTGTACATGCGTGTGTCTGTGTGTGTGTGTGTGTCCTTGTGTCTGTGCTTGTGTCTGTGCGCGCGCATGTGCATGTGCGTGTGCGTATGTGTGTATGTATGTGTGTGCGCGCGCGCACGCGCGCACGCGTTCACCCAGGCTCCCTCACCCCTCGGCGCACTCGACGCTCATCTCGCATTTCTGGCCGCTCCCCCTCGGCCCTGGGTCACCACTCAGACGCCCGTGAATTGGACCTGCACACGGACGACAGTGATTTGGCCGGCGGCGACAGCCGCCCAGTGTCCTCCTCTTCGGGGACATCCTCCTCGGTCTCGGCATCGGCCTCGCCCTCACGCTCACAGAGCCCCTCAGCTCGCAGGTGCGGCCTCTCCGGCCCCGCTCCCCCGCCCTTGCTTCCTGCCACCAAAGTGGCCCGCGATGCGCCCCTTCTGACCCTCTTCCCCTCCTAGCTCCACCCCCTCCTCGCCGGTATCCAATGCTCGGCTATCTAGCCTCCGGTCGAAGCGCCGGCTGTCCGACGCATCCGACACCCAAGCTCCCGGGTCCCCGGGGGCTGAGGCTGGCGGCGTCTCGCGCCGTCGTATGACTCGCAGCGACTCGCTCACGGCCGCCGCCGCCCATGCTCCGGAGCCGAGTTCGCCGCGGACGCGCCGGGGCGCGGCCATTGCCGCCGCTGCCTCCATCCAGGCGGATGCCCTTAGCGACTCGCGCTCCGGGAGACGGGCTCTGCGCAACGCCCAGCAGGAGGACTGAAGTGGCCTGGACGCGTGCCATGTGTCCGGCGGCATGCCGCGCGCGCGCGCGCTGGCCTTCCCCGAGCCTCTCCCATGGCGCGTCGCTGCCGCTCCTGTGTCCAGCACACAATACACCCAAACCCTTGCAGATAAAAGAGAAAGCCCGACCGATGCCCGCCTGTCCGTCAGCCTGTTCCCCCCCCCCCCCCCCCCCCCCCCCCTTGGCCCCGGTCCCGGCCCCGGCCCCGAGAACTACGCCCATGAATGTGCCAACCTGTGGGTGGGGAGCAGCGCCGGGACATAATACTACCCACAACTGAGGTGCCACCCGACTGGGTGCTGATCACGTTACCAGAGCCGATCGCTCCCTCGGCCCGGCCGTTGGTTGGCCCATCTCTCCCCTTTGTCTCTCTCCCTCCCCTCCCCCCGCTCCCTCAGCGTGAGAGTGTGTTTCTCTCTCTCTCTCTCGCCGGCGCCCTGCGCTTGTCTGGTTTCCTCAGGAGGGCCGGTCGAAGTGCGCGGCCGGCTCTCCTCCACTGGGGACGATCGGCCGCGCGGTGACCTACAGGTCCAGGATCCGAGGCCTGGCCAGCAGCACTCCCGCCAGGCATCAACGACTGCCCCGGTGTGCACCTCCCTCCCGGACCGGAGAGCCAGGTGGCCGGCCCCGGCTCCCTGCGCTTGATGAGATCGTACCCCGGACCGGGGTCATTCCCAACCTCCTGACCACACCCATCCCCTCTCTCCCTCCTGTCGGCGCCTGCACCGTCCCCGGGACCCGCTGCCGAACCAACTCCTCCATCGTCCTCTTCCCCTCTCTCCCTCCTGTCGGCGCCTGCACCGTCCCCGCGGACCCGCCGCCGAACCAACTCCTGCGCCGTCCTCCCCCACCCCTCTCTCTCCTCCTCCTCCTCTTTCACACTCTCTTTCGTGTTTCTCTTGCTCCTCCGTCCCGGGACTTTGCCCCTTTCTCCTCCCCCCCCCCCTCCCGTAGCTGGGTGGGACCTGCTTCTCGGTGATCCTGAATACAAGAATGACCTCTCCCCGATCGCCTGGAGATGGTTCGTCCCACATTGGAGGCACCTTATGCATGCATGCATAGTGTCCTCCTCCACTCCTCTCCCGCTCCTCTCCCTTCCTCTCTCTCTCTCTCCCTCTCCCCTTCTCCTTCTGCCTCCCACACACGCACACATACACACAGACTGACAAACAGCCCTCCCATGCGTCGGTCGGAAAACAGGCGCCCCTACCACCGGGTCTACCCCAACTTCGGCCACAAGTGACCTGTCTCTTGGCGACTGCGATCCGATGAAGGGCCACGATTTCATCCTCTCGGACGCGGAATTCGAGTCCCCGGACAGTGATCTGCCCGGGTCTCCGGAGGTCCCGCCCGGGACTCTCGACAATGAGCCGGCGAAAGCCAACACCCCGAGCACTGGGCCGTGCGTGTCGGATGTGCCTGACGCCAATGCCAGTGCTGGGAAAGATGGCTCGGATGCCAGCATGGCGGATGTCCCCGAGGCCCAGGGGTCCGGCAGCGACCCGGCAACCAGTCACCCCATCAAGTCCGAGCCCGACGACTTGCAAGCACCGGAGTCGCTCCCGACTGGCGAGACGGCAGCCGGTGTGGAGGCCCCCTCGACCGAATCGGTGGCCGATGGATCGGGCTTCCTGAATGAGACGCTCCCGGCGGGCACCGAGATGACCGAGACCGAGCTGCCACTTGGCCAGCTCTTCTACGACTCGCCCTTCGAGGTGGCGCGGCTGAGCTCCCCAGCCCCCGAGGGCACCACCGGGCCGCCGGATATCACACGCGCGCTGCTGGTGGTGAACAATGGCTCGCCGCAGTCCATGCGCCTGTTGATTGCAGCGCGGTCGCTCTTCCGCAAGCAGCTGCCCAACATGCCGCCGGAGTATGTCACGCGCTTGGTGCTGGACTGGCGGCACCGGACGCTGGTGCTCATTCGCGACCCCCGGCCCCCGGAGGAGGAGACCACCCTGGCCAATGGGCGATACCCGCGAGACATTTTGCTTGGTGCCATCACCTACCGGCCGTTCGATGTGGCTCGCATCGGGGAGATCGTCTTCTGTGCCGTGCACTCGGACCAGCAAGTCCGCGGCCATGGCGCTCA